CAGCTAAGCTCCTTGCTAACAGAAACTATCAAAGAGTTGGGATAAGATGATCTTTTGAAGCAAAATTATAATTTCTAAATTGGAAGCCAAAAGCAAGATAGCTATCATAAAATAAAATAAAAAACCCAAACCAAACAAAACAAAAAAATGGTTACCCAATGTTGCCCTGGGCCACTCAAGGTCATTAGAAGAAATTTTATGTGTTGCTTCCGGAGTGATAGGACTTTTTGCTGTAGAAAAAAGAGTGAATTTAAATGAAGACAATTAGAACCTGAGTCAGCAAAGCACTTCAGCAATAGACTTAAATACATATATAAGCACTGTGCTGATAATGGTTATAAAGAGCTGAGAGTGGTTACTTAAAAACAGATTAATGTACTTCCTTGAATATAATTTACATTAAGATAGGTAATATTTTAAAAGAAGAATATTCCCAATAAGATTTGATATTGCAAAGATGTAGTGCAAAAGACACCAGCCCCTCTTTGTCTGGGTGTGAGAATTTATGGTTATTTTAAATACAGGCAGTCCCCGTGTTACATGGATCCGACTTACATCAGATCCCTACTTACAAACGGGGTGAGGCAACCCCGCACTAGCTGCTTCCCCCCAGCAGACCAGGGAGACGCGGAGCTAGCACCCCCCTCCCCCCCAGCAGACCAGGGAGACGCGGAGCAGCTTTTCTCAGCAGACACCTCAGCTTGAGAATAAAGGACTGAGGGAAGTGAGGTGTGGGAGAATAAAACTGAGCTCTGGAGAAATGTTTGGCTAGAGTTTCCCCTACAATATGTACCAGTTCCGACTTACATACAAATTCAACTTAAGAACAAACCTACAGTCCCTATCTTGTACGTAACCCAGGGACTATGTATAAATTCATACTAAAACTTCTGTTAAGAGTAATACATTCAATAAAAGCTCAATTACGTCTCCAACTAATTACATTCAGGCTTTTCTTTCCTAGAATCATTATTTGTTTTAAAAAAAACACAGAATCTTAGTTTCTGTAGCAAATTTTGCAACATACAGAAAGCTAGTTAGAAGCCTAAATTTGAAAAAGGAGTAACGCTGTTTATAAGGTGTGTAGAATTCCCATTGTAGAAACTACATTTGAAGGCTTGCTGTCTTTCATATATATTTTAAATGTGTATAATATATCTATCTATTTGTTTTAGAAATGTCTGTCTATGAGTCTTTTTCTTCAATAACTCCTCCTAAACAATAAGAGCTAGGACCATCAAATTCGGTAGGCAGCTTCCTCGTATCGTAACTTAAAGCAAGGTCAGGGTTTGGTTGTGCCAAGGAAATGGGAAGTGCTGGGAATGGGACAGAGAGAGGAGGGATGCGATACTAAGAGGGGCCACTAGGAGCAGTGAGGAGAGGGAGAGTTATATACAGAGTGGCTATTGGGGCAGCCCGACCACCAAGAGAGTGGCCAGCAGGGCTGAGACTCTGCCATCTTGCCCGCCACCAGACTGGATGAGTAGCCCCCCCGACCCAAAATTCCCTGGCTCTTGGCTGTAGCACTGGAGTAGGGGAGGAAAAAAAAGCCCTTGAAGGCCAGAAGGAGACAGAAGACCCCTGGTGGTCTGGAGGACTGGGGGGAGAGAAAAGGCCCTGCCGACCTGGGGTGCTGAGAGAGAAAGCCGTGCTGTATGGGATACCTCACCCTGAGCCCCTCCTCACCCCCTAACCCTCACTCTCACTCCCCCACACTCTTAGCCTCCTGCCCTGTCTCCCCACACAATCCCAAGGCCCTGCCCTGACTCCTGAACCCTCCACACTGCCCTGTAGGACCCAGGCAAAGCTGTGTAAGAGTTCTAGTTTTTAATAGAAGTAGGCTTCTGAAATCTTTATAACTGCAATAATTTCTTCTTCAAAAGAATCAGATATTAACCTGACATATATAAACCTTTTAAAACTTTAATATGTTTGGGCAGCCACTAAAGGTCTCAAAACAAACTCATGTACACAGTTTGCATTTCACATGTGCTCCAAATGCAAGTTAACTTCTTTGCTGGAGCACCGCTGAGTTTGGCTCAGAGGCTGATCCATGTTCAAGTAGTAAATTACAGAAAAATAGTTACTATACCAGGTTTACTATGTGGCATTTCTGGTATGGCACTGGCAGATGCTTTAGGTTTGGAAGGAATGTGTTGGGGTTCATATGAAACTGAAAGAAAAAAATCCCAGTTCACACATTATTACTGCATGCATCATTATTCAGACCACAGAAAGCATAGACTCAAACCCTACACTAGAGCAATAAAACTTAAAAGATTCCAAAATCAGGCTGTAATTAACACACGTTCAAAAAAAGGGGGGGGGAGTATTGCAGTTAAAATTTTAGAGTAGCTTAAAAAAAATTGCAGGATTACTAGACCTTAGCCAAAATAAGGAATTTCCATTTCAATTATAAACTAATCTTGCCACCAACCAATCAGCACTCTCTTTACCAAAGTGTTTTTCCCTTGTGGCAAGCTCAACCTCCTTTTTGTGGCAAAGTTCCTGGATTCTGCAGCACTCTGGTGTGGCAGAAAAGAAATTTTGCAGGAAGTTCTTTTAAATTACAGAATTGTGGGGTTTCATGAAGTCAATATGAAAGAGACAAATACAGTCAATACAGAAATCACCAATTTATTTATTTTGAGATTAAATTCAATTTTATTCAGTCTACACTGTTTCAGTTTTGATACTCTAAAGATATTTCTACTAACAATACCTAGGTACGTCACAGAAACTGAGTAAGGTAGCAATCTGGGAAATATGATCATTCTACGCAAGAGAAAACGGGACAACCACAGGTGTTTGCTAGAGGGATCCTCAATGCTTTTACTGGAATTCTTCCCCCTCTCCCTGCGCCAGGCAGTTACCCGTTTTTGGAATCCTGCTGAGAGGGGTAGGCATATGGCCCCCCTCAAAAGGCTGTTGCTTGATGGCTGGAAACCTGTCACAGGGGCCTTGTATGCTGCAATTCTGAAGTACTACTTCCTCCTCCCCAGCCCTGCCTCCCCACTGTCGTGAGGTTGGCATCTCCACACCCCACTTTTTTTGGCACAAAAGGGGCATTGGTTCCATTTTCTCTTGCCAACCAATTAAATCAGGAAGAGTAAATGGCACAAATGTCCACCTTTTGGGGGGAAAAGTCAGGATGGCCAGGACCGGGCTTAAAAAAGGGACCGTCTTGGCCATAACAAGACATATGGTCACCCTGCAGCTAGGGCTTTTGGTAGCAGTGCAGGCACGAGAGGCAGTCTGTGACTGTGGGATGAATACATCAGTTGGATGCATCTACTAAATGAATATCAAGTGAAATAGCTAAAGTAGCCATTTAGGTAGTCATATTCAAGTTCCAGCGACTGCCTAGGGAGGCAATCTGGGTAGTCCGCACCTCCCAGAGTTATTGTTTCACGGTGTCTACAGAATAAGGACCTGTCTATACTGGGGATACCTATACAAATATAGACACACTGAAGCAGTTATATGCTGTTTCAATTTAAAATGCATCCTGCTCTAGTGCAACATATTTACGCTGGCAGTCTGCACCATCATGGCTACACTTTAAATATTTCTAATATAATCAGGACTTCAGGAAGACAACACAGCATTGGTTTTATGTTCTCATAATTTTTCCAATATTTTCTTCAAAATCATAAAGGCTAGAATAAATTTCATTGATGTAACATAGGGTTAGATTGTACAGAATCTACTGCCTGGGATCTACTGCCTGCAGCTAACTCCTCAGGATACACAGAACATGGATCTTAGTTAATGTTTGTAAAATGCCTTAAAACATAAAACAGTAAATATTATCTACCCCCAAAGAATATCACTCTTATCTTGCCACAAATGCTGCCATAAGTGGCACTTGGGACATTATAAAGTATAGTGCCTTGAAATTATGGCAGCATTATTCCTTGGGAAATAAACCTCAATATCAACTCTGTTTAATTCCTGCAAGAGGTTTAATTTGTTAAACTGAAATAAAATAGAATAGCAATAAGTCTGAACTGAAATTCAGAAACCAAATCCACAGCCCAAACCAAATATCATAGCTGTACGCCCTTTTTATACAGGTCTGAATGCATCCCCCCCCCCAACCCCTCAAGTCTTGGGAGGTTTTGAATCCAAACCCAGAAATGGGCTGGAATTTCATAACTAGATGTCAACAGAAAAAAATTAAAAATGAGCCCAGAACACCTGAAAACTTTCCGGTCTTTGAAATCTGGATCTAAATTGATTCAGACACATTTTTATCTTCTTCAAGGTCTATTACTGGCCTACACACAAACAAAATCAATGATATGGACTAGGAGATGATTGTGCTTCCACTAGGAAAACACATTCTGTCCAGAGTTCCTGCACCAGGTCTGTATACAACTCACGTACCAAACCTTAGCATGAAAACTTTAGTGGAACTTGAGAGGTATATCTTTTGTACAACACTGAATTTAATCTTTAATGAATAACATGAATGAATTTTCCTTTCATTGACTGAAGACATCAACGCCTTGGGTAAAGGGTATCAGATTTTATGACTCTTGCACTTAATTTGTTCATTACTCATAATGAGATGACACTGTTGCCTAATTTGAGGTATTGAGGACTGTTTTTATTAGTCATTTAGGACTCAGTATTACTGCAATATGATTTCTGCCACTGATTTAAATGGGAATAATTTCACACACTTCACAAATACAAGAAAAAAAAAGCTCTCAGACACATCACGAGCAGAGGTAGTACAGAAATGGATTTCTTCGTGGTAATTTCCCAAGTCATAGCTTAAGAAAATTAAACCAATTTCCTACAACAAAAAGCAAAAGGAAAGGTGAACAGTACAGGACAGATGGCAACACCAAACCAACGTGTATCTAAAAACAGAGTGAAATTCAGTCATTAGTTATGAATAAAGAGACACAAAATGTCTTTCTGAAGATGAAAAATTCCTGTGATGAAAAGGAAAATGAAAGAGCTGACAAGAAGAAGATTATCATCATTACCCATTGTAGATTTCGGATGTTCAAGAGTCTCAGTAGTAGCGGTAACAGAAGAAATCTTACTAGTGACAGGCACTGCAATGGGTTTCCTGGTTGCTGCTGGAGTAAAGGACATTATCTTGAGAGAAATGAAGGTGGATCTACATCTTTTAAAACTATTTCCCAGTGCCTGTTATATGCATTTGGATATCAAGATTATGGGACAGATACTCCACAAGATGTCTCAACTTTAACCCTGACACTTTTGGGGAGGTTTTCATCCATTGCTGATGTCCATGTATTTATTGTTCAAATGTGAGAGACCCCCTTCCAGGGGAGCTTGTACCTCAATAGATTTGCAAACTGGAATTACTGAACTGCATTATGTGTTAAAGCATAATATCCTGGTATATTTGGGAACCACGGCTATAATGCAACAGGGATGTATCACTCACTGTCAAACATTTCTTCAAATGGAGCAGGATGGCAAGTACCACAAGACACTGATGGTATAAGCAAAACCAAACTTTTCTCTTTGAGGCCCTTTTTAGTATTTATATTACAGCTATCATGATTGTTTTGCTTCCCTTCTATTAGTTTAGTTCTGAAAATCTGAAGCCAGTCATAAGAAATATGTTGGTGACAAACTATATTAAAACATGGTGGACTAAACCCTCCTTCCACCTCACCAATCCTGAATAGCCAGACTTGGCATTGGGGTTCCTGGAGAGGAATCCTTCAGCACAGGAGCCTGAATTTAAGTTGCATCACTTTGCAGCAGCCATCCTAGAGTCACTAGCCCAACCCTCTCCTCTTATCCATCTCACCACTGTTCCAGCCCATGCATTCACTAGCATTGGGATACACAGTGAGCTAACGTGGAGCTGGGCTCTGCAGCATGGAGAGAGCTCCCCACAACCCAGCCCACTTGTCTCCTGCTCCACCAGTGCATCTGATCATATTTAACATCAATTTAAAGGGAATGTCTCTTGCTACTTTTTCTGATTTTTTTCCTCAGACCTTCTTTTCAGTCTTAATGAAAATTTAAACTCTGTTTTATTCAAGAAAAAAATAACTATTTAGGGAATTCAAATATGCAAATGGCAAGTAATATGGTAAAAGGCAAAATTCAGTTCCAAACTTTGTGGGATGTTTTATAAGAGAAAGGAGAATATTCTACTAAATGATAATAATGTTGCAATAAAGTGAGCACCTGTAAAATACATCAGTAAACAAAGTTTGACTTAATTGGTTACAAAACAATGATCATGTTAAACCTGGAACAGAGAAAAATGACACAGGGCTGATCCTGGGCCCACTTAAGGCAATGGTATGCTCCTGTTAGCGCAGGAGACTGCCTATCATGCTAATAGATTTCTACAGTGTTAAAAAAAAAGTCAGCCATCAACCTGGAACAAAACGACAATAGAAGAACATATTGTTATTACCCGGTTTTGACTTGGGTTCTTCTGGATGGAGAGAGACTTTAGGTTTGGAAGGAATTAGTTTTGTCTTACTGGGTGCTGAAAAGAAGAAAGAAGGGAGATTGTAAGCCCAAAGTTTGGAGGAAAGAAGAGAGTATTTACCAGTAATGCCTGCTCTTTGAGAAAACAATGAGAAGTTCTGTGACACTTTATAGACTCACACATTTATTGGAGCATAAGCTTTGATGGGCAAAGATCCACTTCATCAGTTGCATGTAGTGGAAATTCCAGAGGCTCTTTGAGAGTCACATTTGTACATTCATAACAGTGGGATGTGGGACCCTGACACTGAGCTAGAGAACTGCCTTGGAAAACCATGTCCATTGGGTTGCATGTTCATGTGATAGCTCAAGTGAGCATGATGGCATCACCCTACTCTATATATAAGGAAGTGCATTCATCCAGCCAAATACCTCACTTCCTTTTCTCAAACCATAGACCTGATGTTATACTGAGCTCTGACATAGAAGGGCAGGTGGTTGGGTAGCGTGACTACATGCGGGTAATTTTCAAAGAACAAAAATTACTGTAAAGTAAACCTCTCTTTTTCCAATGATGGCCTCTGCATATTCCCACTTCTAGCAGACCAGCAAACATGATGGTGATGGGCAGGTTCTTAGATAGAAACTGTCTGTAATTTGCTCTCTCAAACTGGACATCAAAAAGCAATGCTACTTTGTAAATCTTCACAAGTGGAACTTATCTAGGTCACATCATGGATGCCTTGTTGGCTATCATGGTTCTTTAAACAAGGGACACCTGGTTTCAAGCATTCTAATCCCAGAGTGAAGCACTGAATTTGGTAAGAAGCTTCTGCCTGACACCTCTCCCCCAGGCCAAAAACTATATAGCAGAACTTCTGAACAGCTCAGGCTAGTTCATGTAAAACCAGAATATCCTTTTAATGTTTTGATTATGGAGACATGATCCCAATGGGACCTGAGGAAGAACACAGGGAGAAAAATACATTGAGATAGCTGGTAATGTGAGACCATCTTTGGCATGAAGCTGTGTTGAGGCCTCATGGTGATTTTGTTGTTGTGATCAAAGGTAATGCTGAGGCTGGAGACGGAGACAAAGTGTATCCTCGGTACCATGTAAGAGGAGCTCAGCAGAAGCTGGTATTGGTGCTCTCAATGGGACCAATTTAGTATCAGGCTGTAGGATCTCTGGTATAGGTTGGACTTCCATGGCCCAGCACTCTCAGGACCCGAGTGGTCCTGAAGGAGGGAATTTGCTGAACCAAAGGATATCAGGGCTCAGGCTCTACCAGAACTCCCCTCCTAGCCACCAGCCTGGCCAGAGCACTGCCCCCAGCTGCTGGCAGGGCTCCACTCCCACCAGCGGGGCTCCCTGCTCCTGATGAGTGGTGCTTCCGCCCTCTGGACACAGGGGCTTCCCTGCCCCCAGCTGGCAGGGGCTTCCATGCCCCTGGCTAGCAGGAGCTCCCCACCTAGCCCTGCTCTGACTGCTGGCTACTAGCTGGGCTCCCTACCCGCAGGCAACTGTCCCTCCAGGCTGCCTGCCTGCCTGCCTCTGGCCACCTCTGTGGCTGGGGTGCTCTGGTCCAGAGTCATGATCCACAGAAGTTAAACCTGTATGATCATTGGCAAAGAGGTGAAATACTTAAATCCCTTACAGGGCTCTGTGCAGTCCCTATAAAACTCCCATGACAAGTTATGGGACATGTGTAGTAATGTACACTAATCAGAAGACAATAATAAGACAAAGGAAAGATCTAATCTCAGGGCATGAAGATGATTCCATTTGCTCTCTGCTCTTGGGGGGGGGGGGGGGGAGAATTGAGGTAGCTGGTCAATCACATTCCCTTCTATAGAGCAAAGGGCTGATGTAACTCTTGACTGAGATCTCAACTACTGCCTCCCGATCAACATAACTCTTCAAGGCAGGTCCACAACTCGATGTGAGGGCTGCCAAATCCCACATGTGGGAATGCAGAAAAGTCTTGGGAGAACACAGTATTTGTACCAGAAAGACACAAGAGACAGTTTGTACATGCCTAAGTCTACATGGAACACACAAAAACTTGGGTGCTCACAAAAAGATTGTTTCCATACGGAAGAATGAAGTTGCACATCTTCAACGGCTTGTAGAGCTGGTTAGAAAATAGAAAATCATTGCTGCAGAAATCTTTGGTTTCCATTGAAATCTGATTTCTTTATTATATTTTCAAACTATCTTACCAGCGCAACCTTACCAGAAATAGTTTTCAGGGATGTATGCATTAACTTGACCTGGTTCTTTGGTAAGTCAGTGCCAGTCTGCAGAGAGTCTACATTAATTTGAGCCATCTTGAATAGAAGTGTTTGGACTTCAAGAAAAGACGACAATCATTGCTGTTTCACCAGACCTAATTTTGGGTCAGTTTTTAGTGACACCGGGATGCAAATGGAAACGTGACTCCTTGTCATCATACCTCCTGGCTAACGGCCAGATTGTAATCCTCTGACATTGAATAGTATTCACACCTGAATAAGAGTAACCCTATGGAATAAATGCAGAATTCACAATAATCTATATAGAGAAGAGAAGATAGGGCAAATCATTCAAAGTTCAGTGATAAATAGATAGCTATTCTCAGGATTCCATCTGGACTCATCTGGGGGACTAGTAACAGAGAGATGACAGAATAGATACACTTGCACAAACACACAACCTTACCGATTTCTCTGTAGTTAAATGGAAAAATGAATTGATCATGCACTGTGGAAACATCATTACCTAGTGTTGTCCTTGGCAGTTCAAGAGGAATAGAAAATTTAGGTGTATTGCTCTCCAAATGAATTGATTTTTCTGCTGATGAAAAAGAAAGAATTCAGAGATACATATATGGAAGATAGCAGCATCTCTAGAAGGGATATTGACAAAATTGTCTTAGTAATAAAACAGTTAACTTTGAGCAGTGCAAAAACCTTACTAAGGAGTTGTAGTTATAGCAAACATGTTTTCAAAAGTTGGCCCATAATAATTGATGCAATTCCAAGACTTAAATACCCTAAGTTATAACAAACTTTAATGAGAACTATTTGTCATGAAGTGGGTAATTTTTTAACTAGCAAGATTTCAACATAATACTTTGCAGGGAGTCTGGAGATAATTATAATAATGTTGCTTGGTCTCTGACAAAACTGTTTAAATAATATATTTTTGCACTATAAAATTATTTATCATTTTAGCTTTATGACTTCATTATAAACCATGTACATGTTTCTATGGCTTTATCTTTATTCATGCAACTCCAGACAAGTCTGAATGTGTGAGATATTTTCTTTCATTTGACCTACATCACAGGTTCAATTAAACCATGGTGTAAAAACATAGTGCAGTTGGACTGCCTTCATTTTGTATCCACTGGCCTGACTTTCACCCCTCACAGTTCTACAATTTTAGATGAGCCGCATCATGAGCTAACTATCACTGAATCTGTACTCATCCTAGGGAAACAGATGAAATGGGACAGATTTTTCTCAAAAGCAAAGCAAGAGACCTTTGATTAAAGGACTTTTAAACTTACAGGCAAATCTGAGTCCTGTTGAATAAACATGGGCCAAGTTATGATTTCAGGTGGAAACCATGTAAAAGCTTAGTTCCAACCCCACACCCTGTGCTTCTCGGTGATTCGAGCTAAGTTTTGCTTCAATTTTTTTTTTAATTTTTCCAAATTAACATTCCAAATCTAACTCTAGAGATGCAAACCCACACTTTGCATAATCCTCCTGAGAGCAAAATCTGCTCAATTTCACATAGAAGGCTTTTAAAACAAAATACATTGCATTGCAAAAGTAATAAATTACTATAATGCTTGGCATGGAAAGTAATTACCAGGTTTACTTTGTGGCATTTTTGGTCTGGCAGAAGGTTTAGGTGTAGAAGTAACAAACTTTGTTTCCCAGGGAGCTGAAAGAAACAGATTGGATTATAGATTTTTTTTTCTAATTCTTTTCTTTAGAAATGGAATCACGCTGTGATGAAGCAATGATACTTCAAAATGGCTTCTGGAAACAAAATCATTGCTTTAAATAAGGTCTCGCAAAGTTGTCAGGAAAATGTACTTGCCCATGCACAAAAATTATTAATTTGACCTTTACTATAATGATTGATAAATAATTAAAATATCTAATTCTGTTTTATTTGCACATTAAAAATTATTCTGGGCAATTTAGGAATTTGAATTTTGCAAAACAAGTCTAAAATATAAAATATAGATGAGGTTTGAAAAGGTAACATGAATTCTTAGAACTCTCAGCTATTCAAGATGACAATGATTCTGGCAGAAGTAGAAAGCCATGAAATGAGTAACATGCAAAAGTATCAGAGGGGTAGCCATGTGAGTCTGTAACTTTAAAAACATGTAGTCCTGTGACACCTTAGAGACTAACATATAGGATCATGAGCTTTCATGGGTAAAACCTACTTCATCAGATGAGCTGGAGAGGAAATAACAGCATCCAAAATATATATAACATAAAAAGAAGTTACCTGTCATTTGTAGATAATTAAGCTACAATTAATGAAGATAATTTAGTAGGCTAGATGTGTCCCTTTCATAGCTTTAGATGTGAAAATGCAACTGTCAAAGGCAGGAGTGATTGCCTTTGTAGTGTATTAGCCAGTTAATATGTTTATTCAAGTCTAGGGTAACAGTGTCAAATTTGTAAACGAATTTCAGCAAGATTAACTCACAACTGCAGCCCCTGGATTTCATTTATAAAAAATTCAGCATTGATTGTGGGAGAGCAGGAAATATTGATAAGACTAAGCAATTCTGCAAACCCTCAAGCTGTCTTTCTGTAATTGCAGGTGTTGAAACTGTAGTTAGCGAGTCTGATTACAAGCCTAAGGCTTCATCCTGGGAGGTGAAATCTGTGGAATTTGAAAGTGCCCAATCAGTACCTCAAAGATATGAACATTCAGTTTGCCTATTTTTATAAAATAGGATAATAGAGCTGCTTCCATGTTTGTTTCAGGAGAAAGAGCTTTAATGGCATAAGCAGAAAAGAAATGCACTCCTATGAATAAATATATGTGAAATGACTGAGAAGAGGTTTTCAAGCCCAAAGACTATATGACAGATACCTAGAAACAGGACTAATGAATATTTCTAGTGTCACAAACATCTCGTTAGAGAGAATGTCAGGTGTTTTTAATGTGAAAAAAGTCAAAAAACTTTGCTTTGAGAAAGCCTCTTTACCAGCTTTGAACTTAGCCTTTCAATAGTTTTTTTTTTTTATGTACACTCGGGGGAGAGTGCGTGGTTGTATTTTTGTTTGTGATCTCAATCACTCTCAAACAATGAATGAGGGGCAAATTCTGCTTACAGAGATGCATGTATGCCTCCTACTGAGTATATTCAAAGGCAGATACTTTATCTTTCCAATAACATTGATAAAAAAATGTTGTGGACAAATTAATTTTAGAAAAAAAACTAAGCTCATGAATGTGAGTTCAGGACCATGTATATAATACTTCTTTCCTGACAATTCTCCTGTATAAACACAATAGATCCAGAAACAGAATGAAGTTGGCATGATTAGCAGTGATGGTATCTTCAGTGATGGAATTCTAATGATGGATTGAAGAGAAATATAGAGACACACATCTACTGTAAAAATTGTTACCTAGCGTTGTCTTTGACCATTCAATAGTCTTTGAAGCTTTGGGTGTACTCTGTCCTAAAAGCAGTGGCTTTTGTGCTATAAAACAAAAAAGAATCCAAGCACAATTGAATAGTACAATAAGAACACCAATAATAAGTTAAAGATGTATGAGGCTTAAAGGAGATCATGTAACATTTCCTACATTCCTTTTTCAGTATAACATCAAGTATACAAAATAACAGCACATAGACTGAATTGTTGAACATCTGGTAACCTAGGATCACCAGTCTTTGGATTGTGAAGGGGGCACTCCTCTCTTTTGATCATGACTGTGGCTGGGATCCATCTGTTTCTGATCAAAGGAGCAAAAATAAAGGTGGAGAGAGGAGGGGAAGCATCACATGACTTGGTTTATGTCATCATGGTCATCCAGCAAGATCCAGCCCACAGCTATGGACCTTGTCAGGGGCTTTCCTTCTGTCAATCATAGCTATTTTCACTGAAAGGAAACTCCTTCTCTATGACATCCTGGAAGTGAAATGACCGCATAGGAGTAGAATATACTAGGCACCAACACTATGCTGGGACTAGTGATGTGTTGTATGTACCTCATACCTGTAAACAGTGACACATGCACTAAAATATGGAAACAATATTACTATATGGATATTGTGTAATCACATGCAAAAAGTATTTCCAGATTTTTTTTAAGTAACCTATGAAATTGACAACATTAGTTACTCCTGCTCAATAATCTGATGATCTTGTGTCTTTCTGTTCTTTAGGTCACTTTATCTGAATCAGAAAATGAAACAATGATCTGTATGGATCAGATGTCTGTATACAGTCTGCTGCCTTTGTAAACAACACTACAGGATTTTTTTAAAAAGTATCTTCCCTGATGTATGAATTATGTAAATGGACTACTTAATTACCAGGTTTCACATGCTGTACTTCTGGAAGAGGATATGGCTTCAATTTAGAAGGAATAAGTGGTATTTCATTTGGAGCTGAAAGAAAGAGTTTGGTTTATAACTAAGTACTTCAGGAATTATTAAATAAACCTCCACATGCCGCAAGTTTGCAGTGAATAAGACATAATTCAGTATGGAATGTGAAAGCCAGCTGAGGACATCAACATTCAAAAGGGGGTCAGGGATGGAGTTGTGTATTAATCAGAAATCAAGTCAATGTTTCAAAGATGGCTACAGCTTTCAAAGTAAAATCATACACATGAGGAAGACACATAATAAAAGGATGATGGAGTTCTCCATGCAAGTTTCACAGTTGACAGTTTTACTGCTTTATTTCACTAGCATCAACTACAGTCCTATAGAGAAGTGAAGCAAAAGGTGTTAAGAGTGTTTGGTGACACAGAAAAAACAAGAATCTAGAAGTAGGATAAAGGTTAATGATTCACTGCATGAAATGATCTTATGGAAGAAATGCATTCACATGGGATGGGATGTTCACTAAAGAGCACAGTGTGACCGTTCACTGTGACAAACAACAACATTACCCAATGTTTCCCTTGGCCATTCAAGAGCACTAGAAGTTTTAGGTGAGAAAGATTCCACAGTGGGCTCACTTGTTGCTGCTGGAAGAAATGTTGACAGTTATAAGAGAGAAAAGAGCTTATGGAAGAAAAAAGTTGCTTCATGAGAAAAACAAATTTGCTGTACAAGAAAAACTTAAGTATTCCACTGATTCTTGAACATTATTTTCTGTTTACCACCAGTTTAGTATGTGTTAGAAATGAGCTCAGCTTTTTGAATCACACAGTTACGGTAATCATAAATCATAGTACCTGTGTGTGAGTGCAGAGATTTTTTATATTAATTTAATTCCTTCCTGCAGTCACAGCAGTAAATTTGGACTAAATTTTCTGAATCAGGCATCAAATATTAGGTCCTTGTTTTTTTAGTTATGTTGCATCACTTAGCCCGGGTCTACAGTAGGGGATAAGTTTGAATCAAAATTGCACAGCTGGAGTTGACATACTTTGATTCGAACTTATATGCTATCCTCACTTCAGGAGGTCACCAAAGAAATGCTCCCGTCAACTTCCCTTACTCCTTGTGAGGAGTAGGTGTACCAGTGCTCATGGGGGCACTCTCAGCATTCGATTTAGCAGGTCCTTACTAGACCCGCCAACTCGAATGCCAGAAGATCGATCTCTGAAGTGTTGATCCACGGGTAAGTATAGATGTGGCTTGAGTAAGATGACAGAGTAAAACAAAGGAATATAATAAAAAGGACATGTTGTATTGCTAATTATTCAAATACTGACAGATTATATTTGGCTCAGAAAGCTGACAACTGATCCAACTATTGTCTCAGTTCTGGAGAATCAGCTGTTTAAATTAGTTAACTAACAACAGTGGCTAGAATATGCTTTTCCTTCGTATAAAATTATAACAGTTATACAGCACTGTCTTCAACTTTATCATCTACAATGCAACATTAACAGAATGTTTTGGACAGTTATTGCAGAGTACTATAGTACTTTTTATATTTGTGTCACAGTGTCATCCATGCAGTATATCTTTCAATATACTGACAGGAAAACTGACCAGTATGAGTTGCCACACACAACACAGCTGTGAGATAAAACAAGTTAATGACAATTTCTCAACAGCAATACAATTTGGATGTTTGCTGAAAGTACAGCTCTAAGTCCACCGAAATCAATTATAACACTTCCATTTATTTCAGTTGAGTTTATATCTGACTGAGAGCCATTGAATTGTAAAATCTGTGTAATAATTTATTGTACCTGGTTTGGTATCTGTTATATCAGGCTCATCAGATGTTGTGGGGCTTGAAACAACAGGTTGAATATCATCTAAAGCTAAAAAAAGAAATGAGTAATCATGTTTATTTTTTAAAATTTATATTTTTATTTTCCGAGGTACTCATTTAAAAATCAATGGTTCAGCCAATTGAATGTATGAGCTCATTTTACACTAACAATACAGCAGTGCTAATATGGAATGGGAGCTGAAGGGGAGAAATTTGCAGTTCAAATGGAAACACCCAGAATGAAGTGTAGGCTAATATTTACTCAGATGGTTCATTTCATGTCTTTATGCAACCTGGAAAGTACAAAGACAAAAAAGCTTCTGATACAGTCAGCTAGGACTCCATGAGCCTAAAGTGTTCAAGGAACAACAGTAATAAGGTATATGTCATTAGAACTGAGCAAATATTGCAAAAAAAAAAAAAATCTGCAAATATTTGCTTTAATTCACACCTCTTTAGTGCTTTGCTTTCTGTGAACCTTCTGAGATAAGAGTTTTACTAAGCCAAATGTTCATGGAAAAGAAACAATATCCTGAAACTTACGTAACAAATTATATAACTCAGACTCTCTGAATAGTGCATATTCACAGCAAAATGTTTGTGAGCAGTCCAAAAAGTTAAAAAGTAACCAGAAAAAAAAAAAAAGAAAAAAAAAAGGTTGAACAATTTTCAGTTAAGTGTGACCTGTTCATGGATATTCTGCCACCAGAAAAAGAAAGAAAATAATTAATTCACCAGATACATAAATCATTGCAAATTATTTACTCCGCTCTATTGATGATTCATCTGGTTTGATCAGTTACATGAACATTCATAAACAAACAAGAACAGCCAATAACTTCTCTTGACATTGAGAAACAAAAATCCACAACTGGTGACAAGCTTAGTAGTGAAATAAAGACTGGATGTTGGTTCCTTTAAAAAAAAGTGGTAGGTATAGCTACGAGATGTATTGATGACAATCAGCATGACTTATTGTTATGGCAGATGACTAAAACAAAGAAAGGATCCCAGAATTAGTTGTGACAACAAAACCAAAGTGTTTAATTAAAAAAAATAGGATGTGTCATTATTACCCATTGTTCCTAGCAAATGAGGTATTCTGGAAATTAGAGGCTCAGATGTCTCCAGGTCAGCGCTATTTGTAACTGCAAGAGGGAAAAAAAAAGGAAACAAATCTGAGCTGCAGCCTCATACGGTGTAATGGGTGTGGGTGAAAATACATCACATTCCTTTACAAGGGCTTAACAATGATGTAGGTGTAATATACACAGATTCAAGGGCCTTTTGCACCCAGTAAGGAAGTCCTTTAATAAAGGTTTACAAAAATGTCCTTACCCCAGTACATGCTCTAATTCTTTACAAATAGGTTCAGCAAAGACATGTGCAACTGCATGCACACACTTGCCTTCAACTATATCTAAAACAACAGACTGGTTCCTTATGCTGCACCTTTGCATAAAAAGCTGGAATAAGGTTTAGACTTTCCACAGTAAGCACTGAAATATCCAATTGTAGGTGCCACAAAGTAAGTACTTCACAAGATTACTGAGCACTGGTAGTTTTCTATGTGCAAGTGGCTCTTCTTCCATGCTGGACTTGTGTTCCTGGTATGAATTAAGTTTAAAATCAGTGATCACAAGCAGCATGTTTATATTATAATCTAACAAAAAAACTGAACATTTAAGATACTGCGGGATGCTGAAGAGCCCAGAGGCAATACAGCAAGGAAGTTCATAATAAAACAAGTAATAGTTCATGATACGGTTATGACCAATGCTTTTCCTTCAAGCTTTCGTTCTGTTCTATTCACGCTTTTCTACTGTGCCCCTCACTACAGTATTCATCTACCTTCCAGCAGTGCATTAAGCAACCTGACCATACATCTATCTCGTTTGTCTTCTCATCTTCTCCCCAAAGGGAGAAATGTGTGGAGTGAGGTGTCCTGCTTTGCATGTGCAAGTTCTACCTAAGGTTTAGTCTACACTACAAAGTTTTGTCGTCAAAACCTGCCTTTTGGTAACAAAACAGTGAGAGCATACACACTACAATGGGACTTTTGTCAGGAAAAAATACCCAGTTTTGGCAACAAAACACTTCCATGCCATAAGACTTTTTTTCCCCCCTCCCTTTATTGTCCACAAAGAGCCAATGTAGACTCTGTTTTGTCCATGGAACTGGTTTCCGACAGTGTTCCATAATGCATGCCTGTTGGCTCTGCTCAGCTTTGATGTTTGCTGCCCTGCCGGCATGCACCCCTCTCTTTTCAAAACTCTGGAGAGTGTCTGACAGCAGAGTGAGCTGCTCCGTTTGGGGAACTAAGAGCAAATCATTAGAATATTCCTGTTCTTCCCTGCACTAGGAACACAGCTGTTGTAGCGGGCAGGTCTGTGCTGCTATGACATTTTTCAGCACTGAGAGCTCACAGAGCTATTCATGATGCTGCTCCCAGCAGCAGAAGAGGCAGTGGGAGAACTTAGGGGGAATCCCTACATGTACAGAGACCAGCTCTGCCTTCCCACAAGACGGCACTGTGGGATACATACTCACAATGCATAGCTCACTCTGTGAATGATGATGTCCCCAGTGTGGACATGATCGGTGGACAGAGGGAGCAAGTGTGAACACCATCTGGTGATTTTTGTTTTGCTGACTTTTGGGAGTCAACCATGGACAGCCGGTATCATAGACGGGGAAGGCTTTGCCTTCCTAAACTGTCCACCTGGCCCCACCCGCACTTCACCGCCAGAATGCTTACTGCAGGTGGAATGTTGCTGCCCCTGAGCACCTGCCCTCCCCTGTGCTCCTGGCCAGGAATCTGTGCTCCCGTGCTCCCGGGCCAGGGAGGTTAGGGCCACATACAACCTACCCTCCCGTGTTCCTGGGACCAGGGAAGCTGAGGTGTGCACTGCCCATCCCTCTCCCTGTAGTGGTGGGAGGTGTGGGGAGCTGCCCTGCCTCCCTGTGATGGGAGGGGAGGAGGCTTGGCTCCTGTGAGGGGTGGGACCCCCGCAGAAGGGTCAGGGCTAGGGGCTTGCCCCCCCCCCCAGCTCTTCACCCACCACCCATGCTGTCAACATAAGTTTTGTTGACAAAACTTGGTAGTGTAGACATACCCTCACGCTACTTCTAGACTACAAGCCTCTTTCAAAAGAGGCTTTTTCAACAGAATCTTTCAAAAAAGCCTCTTTTGAAAGAGAGTGTCTACACTGCAACCACTTCTTTTGAAAAAGTGAGCCGAATTTTCGAAAGAGCACCCAGGCAGTCTGGATGCTCTCTTTCAAAAAAGCTCCGTTTGCATTCAAGAATGCCTTTTTTCAAAAGAGTACTTTTGAAAAAAGGCGTTATTCCTCGTAAAATGAGGTTTGCTGCAGTCAACAAACCCACTGTGTTCTTTCGATTTGCTTTCGAAAGAACGTGGCTGCAGCCTAGAAGTCTGCAGGTGAAGTTTTTTCGAAAAAAGTCTACTTTTTTTGAAAAAACCCTGTAGTCTAGACACACTCAGAAAACTAATTGCCCAATAAAGACATAGTCCTTCCAAGGTAAACAATAATACCTCATCAACTTTTTTAAAATTATTTGAGTGCTGGTGAAGGGAGAGCACTCCTGCTGACAAAAAGTTTATACTAGTACTTGCAGAGGCAAAGTTTTTTTTCATTTGGGGGCGCGTGTGTTATGTACCTGTGAAAGACAAAAGCTTTGTCACTCAATTGCCAATGTAGACTTCCCAAGAGGTGGCAACATACTAACTCCACATTTTTTTTCCACCAATAACCTTGTTTATCTGATACCTTGTCCCTAAGAAAAGTGATCCTATGATCCCAAATGATCCTAACGCCAACCTGCTTTCCTTTCCTGACCGTGCCCTTTGATAAATACCAGACTACACAGGCAAAATGCCTTACCAGTGTTTCTGCCTAAAATCTGCATTGCCCCAGCACAGAAATAGCAAGATTCATTTGCTGAACTTGGGGAACAACATGGAATGTGAAATCTCACTGAAATCAGGCAGAACTGAGTAACCAGTTGAAACCTTCAAAATGGAGACAATAACAACCCTTTTTGTATAAAATGTCAAGCTTCAGAAATCATGTAACTATAATTTACCAGAGTCTAGATCAAATATTTCCGAAATTTCAGCTGTTTGGGGAGTGGTAGCAACAGGAGGAAAGTCATATGAAACTGGAAAACAAAACAAAAAACTGGTTCATAAATTAATAACACAGAGAACCATTATGAAATAGTATCATCATCACTTAAAATTGAAGACTGTTTCTATGCTATTCGTAAGTATTAGGGACTGAAAACTGACAACAGCTGAAACCTACATTGCTGTATAAGAATGATTTAATAAAGAACTATATTTATTTTCCCAGACATGCATGAACATACGATGCAAATGATGGTGATTGCTGAAATCATAGTAAAAATATCACCAAAGATGTAAAAAAAATATATTATTGACAACTAGAAAGACCAAAATATAGATAAAAGATGACAGGGAGGATGAAAGGAGATTAAACTTTGCGGACAACTTAAGTAACAGGCTTAGAATGACTTGCTGCATAGTGAGCTACGCGTAGGACTGGCAGTTCTGATTCTTAATGGAATCACTCTAAAAATGTACCCCTAGAAAATTGCTTTAGAGAGCAATCATACATTTATACATGGGAGGATGATTTATGTTAGGTCTGATCCTTCAGTGATGTATTTGATCATATGCTTCTCTGTGGCCCTGAGAACAAGCTATTCTGCATTATTTTTCTCATTTCTAAAATGGAAATAACTACTTGACAGAGGTGCAATGAAGATTAACTAGCGCTCTGTTGGCACAGTATTGTAGTACTATGAAATATATGAAAAGTTGTTAGAGCCGAACCATAAATGGGCATGTATGCAAGAGTGGAAGAAAATCAATATTTCCCAATGTTATATTCTCTGGTACCTAAATGTATTTGTGATATTAATTTATGCTGAACAATTATCCCTTTCTTCTACAAAGTTAATATGTTCTTTGACAAAGTTTTAAATGTCATCAACAAAGAAAGATAAATCAACGTAGTCTATTCCCTTTATTACGTAAGACACTGCAGCACTATTCTGAGATACCGGAGGTATCCTGAAATAGCTATTCCACATTTTTTGAGTATGCCCGTTATTTCAAAATGTAACAGGCTCACTATTCCGATGCCTCTGCAAACCTCATCCCACAAGGAGTAAGGGACGTTTCAAAATAGTAATTTATTTTGAAATAAGTGCTGTGTAGATGCACCTTTTGAGGCCTGTAACATTCCCTCCCCCATCATAATGGGCAAACAATTTTTCTGCTTGTTATTATCTTACAAATATCAGGAATATCAAGTCTTGCTTTCCCTGGTTTTGCCTGAGGATTCCTGAGGGGACAAAAACTACGTGAATAGTCAGAAGTGTTCAATCTTTAACAAAATGAGTTTTCTTCCTCAGCATTTGCCAAGAGTTTAAGTTAAGTAGTTTTAGTAAAAAAACAAATTATTTATTCAGGGCTCATTTTCAGGGTGCTGGTGACAAAAAAAAATTAGAATAATTCTCCTGCAATCCATACAGTTTTCCAGAGGGAGAGGAGGAAGAGAGTTTTAAAGAACTTAATTTCTAATTCTAAAATAAGCAGGGAAAATCCCCTTTTGGGGGAAAAACAAACATTCAGGCTTTCTTTATATACTTTATAAACTCCAGCAAAACCAGAACATCTTTGCAGTTAGCCTTTATCATAGAATCATAGGGCTGGAAGAGACCTCAGGAGGTCATCAAATCCAGACCCCTACCCAAAGCAGGACCACTCCCAACTACATCATCCCAGCTAGGGCTTTGTCAAGCCGAGACTTAAAAACCTCTGCGGATGAAGATTCCACCACCTCCTTAGATAACCCATTCCAGTACCCTCCTGGTGCAATAGTTTTTCCTAATATCCAACCTAGACCTCCCCCACTTGTAATTTGAGACCATTGCTCTTTGTTCTGCCATCCATCACTACTGAGAACAGCCTCTCTCCATCCTCTTTGGAACCTTCCTTCAGGAAGATGAAGACTGCTATCAAATCCCCCCTCACTCTTCACTTCTGCAGAATCCCTAAATAAGCCCAAATCCCTCAGCCTCTCCTCATAGGTCATGTTCTCCAGCCCCCTAATCATTTTGGTTGCCCTCTGCTGAACTTTCTCCAATGTGTGCACATCCTTTCTGTAACAGGGGACCCAAACCAAGGTGCAATACTCCAGATGTGTAAAGAAGAATAATCACTTCTCTAGGTCTGCTGGCAATGCTCCTTCTAATGCACCTTAATATGCCATTAGCCTTCTTGGCTACAAGGGCACACTGTTGACTCATATCCAGCTTCTCATCCACTGTAACCCCCTTAGCCAGTTGGTCCCCAGCCTGTAACAATGCTTGTGATTCTTCCATCCCAAGTGCAGGACTCTACACTTGTCCTTGTTGAACCTCATCAGATTTCTTTTAGCCCAATCCTCTGTCTATATCAGACATAGAATCGAAGATGTGGTCCTCCAGAGTAAAGGCAGAAACGACTGTGTGAATGGAATGGGACCTATAATAAAGGTGAGAACTACAACCAGATGAACTACTGCCAGAAAAATCTTCCTCTCAGAATATAGTTGGCTGGGTGTTTCTCTATCTAGGCAAGTTTGTAATCCATGTTACCTTTAAATACAGTGCCAGCAACTCCCTATACTTTTTACCCAAAGAAAGTTCTGAGTAGCTCATATGCTAGTCTCTTTCATCAACATAAATGGGTCCAAAATTAACTCACCCACTTTGTCTTCCTCATGTCAGAGGATTAACATGGCTACAACAGCACAAATTACATTTTTACACTCATTTTAAAATCCTGCAACATTGACATTAATTCCTGCTTTTCATCCATGCAGAGAATTTTTGTAGCTGGGTGGGCTGGACTAACTAAAACAAACACCTAGTGCATACCACACACCGGCTACATGTGTAAAACTTGACATCTTTAAACTATTTATTAGTCAACAAATATTCGTTATCCACAAAAACCTCTCTATATAACAAAGCCAAAAGCATGAATGGGGAAAACTATAATAAGTTTCCATTCCATTCACACAAGGTCAACTGCAAAATAATGATGTTGGTTATCAAAGATAATAAGCAAGTATATGCTGTTAACAACACCATAGTTAAGTTTCTGTTTAAACTGCATTTTCAAAGTGCCATAATACATTTGGATCCTGATTAACCATTGCTTTACTACAGTTTTACACTGATGTAACTGCATGGAATTACAAAGGCATAAAACTGGAGTAACATAGTAATGGAGTAGGCCCACAGGGTGGAGGAGCTCAAGAATGTTTAGGGGAGGCTTAAAGATTCAATATTTGATAATGTCTGATCATTAATTTATGAGCTCAGTGATCAGTTTTTTACTACATGAGATTATTAAAAATAGTAGCTAAACATCCCTTCTTTGAGGAAAAAGATAGCGATAAGGTGCTTTAATGCAGTAGTCATCAATGGTGGTTCTGGTTTGAAAATGCAAATCAACATGTGCAGTCTACAAAAACAACAACAACAACAGGAATCAGAACTTACTAGGCTAGATGATTGAAACAATTGCAAATGCTGACTACTATCTTCCAATATCAAACCATCTGATACCAAGATCCAAATTAGGCATTGATATCAATTTATTTTTTGTCATTTGTTCAACTCCCTCAAAATACGCAAACATTTTTATATTTGGCCATCCATGATTTATTTAAAAAGATAAATGCCAGCAGGATCACAGCTCCATATTCTCGCCTTTCCTCGCTGTCATACATGGTATAAAATGTATGATCCAGTGTAAAAAAAGAGCATGTGTATGAGTCTCTGCCAAGCAGAACAAGCAGTAGGAATTAGAAGCTTGTGCTATTCTGTCAGCATACTCAGTTCAATACTGAGCCTCTAAGCCTTTAAAGTTAGACATGTGTCTATTTTACATTTAGAAATGATTGTTCTCAATGATGGGTGATTTCCAAATGAATAATAAATTAATAAAATGGTAATTCCTTGTTTAAAAGTCATGCATTGCCTTCTCAAAATGTTGAATGGGGCTCAATCCTGGAAACTGGTCAGATTATATGGTAATAAGCATGACATAAAACCTTAGATACAAAAAAGTGATGAGTGCCCATAACTCTCACTGCACCATTAGGTTTTTTTTGTCCCTGGAGGGAGGGGAAGGAGGAGAAGAGCTGTGCATCTTGTAGTAACAAGCCCTGAGGCCCTTATGTCCAGCTCCTTACCAACCATCCACATTCCTAGAGGTGTTCTAGGAGTAGAATTCTGTTTAAAAACCCATACAACCTAGATAGCAGGCCCGCATGCAGGAATTTCTGAGGGGGATTGCTTTTTTTGTAAATGTGGACCACAAGGGTGTGAATGCACTCCCTGTGGTCCCCCAAGTAAGCAGAGAAATAAGCCCCAGCCTATCCCTGGCCGGCCAGAGCATGGGGGAGGGAGACTTGGGGAGCCTTTCCCTGGCCGGCCAGAGCATGGGAGAGGGAGACTTGGGAGGCAGGAACAACGCGCTACTCCCTGGCCGGATGGAGCATGCTTACTTGAGGAATAATAAGGGGGTGCTTTTGCACCCTTCGCACACACACACAAGCCCATACAGGCCTGTCATTCATTTGGTGCATTAAAATCAAGAGAGATCGTGGGCAGCAGAAGATTACTTAATAAAAGATCGTGAGCTTTTAGAGACTGTGATTAACAGTTTTGGTTAGTGCCTTTTCTGAAGTTTTGGGTCTTGAAGGAAAAAACTGCATTTGACACTGGGCTGAGAGAAAAACAAGATTACAAGTTCCAAGAACGTTAACAGAATGCTTTATCAAGCAGGAAATCATGTCATCAACATATAGTGAAAAAGCAGTTGGGCTAGGGCTAAGTCTTCTTTTACATTTTAAATTTGAAGTTGCAACATTCCACAGTGCAGTCTAAATTTGAAACTGCCTCAAAGGTTCCATGGAATTATCTGCTATAAGAAGAAACAGACTATTCTGTTCACACAGGGACAAGACAACAGACATGCAGAGTCAGAACCATAAGCATGGGCACAATGTGTTCTGGAATGGACAACCGATTAAGGAGTTTCATAATGTGTCCAAAAGGGAAATAGAAGAAGTGTAAATAATAAAGCTTTGACAATATGAAAGGGAATGGAACTGAATTCTGTGGTACAGAAATCTAAAACACATGATACTAGACACTGAGAAAATAACATTTACCAGCTTCTGCTTTACTAGCTTCAGGTGTGACTGTTTTCATAGTTGTTTGAATAGTTACTGTAAGAAAAAAAATGAATCTATTTGAGACTGTCAGATTATATTGCACCGGTCACAAATGTCTTCATTTAATCGTGATTTTGTGTTGCTACATATTTTTAAAAGACTGTATGTTAAACATTATGTACAGTAATGAATAGGTCAGAATTGCAGATTACACTTTTTTTCCCTAAACGCAATAGCTTGGGAACTAAGGAAGCCATAATTGGTGACATTACAGCTGACTTTACAGGTTATGTGGCATCAACTGTGATAGATCTATTTTCAAATAAAGCCTTTACATTTAATGCTCCACTAATCTGCACCAGGGATGTTAACAGGTAACCAGTTAACTGTTAATTGGTAAGCATCACCCATAAAGGTTAGCTAATTAAATAGGATTTACATCCCTTATTTGCTCTCTGTGCAGTCATTTACTCTGCTGATCACAGATATGCAATATGCAAATGTGCTAGTGTTTTAATCCCTCTGCACTCATGTGGCACAGAAAAAGATGGTTACACAAGGTAATTTAGAGTCAAGCCCTCACTCTGTATTCTACATTGTATTCGTTTACATAGCACTTCAACTATCAAATCACTTACACAGCAGAAACAGGACATGAGTTATCTATGAAAAATAGAAGCCTGCTATTGGAGTAAGGTAATTGACCACTCTGAGCACAGTTTTCAAACCTGGGGAATTAACATTAAGCTGTGGATCTACATTGAGATGCCTTAAAAAGTTGCCTGATTTTCGTAAGTGCTAAGTGACTGTAGCAACTTCAGTGGTATTTGTTGATACTTAGCATGTCTTTAAATCAGGACACTTGAATGCAAATGCAATTGCTGAAACATGGATTTAGATGTTTACTTTAGATATCCATTGTTACCCTAGTCAAATTTTAAGGTGCTAAAATTTAGGACCAGAATACCTGGCTGAAAAGGGACCATGGCTGCTTTCGTCAACACTGCCAACCAGGCTGTTCAAAGTTCAATTGACCATCCAGTAGGGCTCAGGCAGGTTTCCTGGACATGCCATGGCTCTGCATGGGCCCTGTAAGCAGCGCCATGTCCCTCCACTAGCTCCTAAGTGCTAGTCCATGTGCCAGCTCTGCAGTGCCCGCTGCTATGAAACTGCAGCTAACGGGAGGCGCCTGCAGCTGGGGGACAGTGCTTGCAGCTGGGGCAACAGACAGAGCTGCTTTGCTGCACTTCCACATAGGAGTGACATGCTGCTGCTTCCAGGAGCTGTTTGAGGTAAGCACTACCCAGACCCCCAACATCCCTGAGTCCTCTGCTGTGTCCCAACCCCATCTCAGCACTGATCCCCTCTCCCCCTCCATCCGCTCAGCCACAGCCAGCAGCACCCTCCTACACCCCAATCCCTCATCCCCAACTCCACTGAAAAGTCTGCACCTCCAGCCAAAACCCTAACACCCCCCTACACCACACCTCCCAGATCCAAAATCCCTCATTTCTGGACCTGCCCAGGAACTTGTACCCCCAACTCAGAGTCTGTACTCCCCCTCCTACACCCCAACACTCTGCCTCAGCCTACAACCCCCTCCCATACTCCAAATGCTCTCAGCTCCAACCCTCAGCCTGAAGCCCCTTCCCGCACCCCAAACTCTTCATCCCTGGGCCCATCCCACATCTCTCACCCCCAGCCATAGATCTCACCCCAACCCCCTAAGCCAGCCTGATAAAAAGGGAATAGAGAGGGTGAGAAGAATGAGTGAGGGAGGGAGAGGAGATGGAGTGAGAAGGGTCTTGGAGAAGGGGTGGGGCAGAAGTGGGACTTCAGAGGAAGGGCCAGGCAGGGTGTTCACTTCTGTGTGAGTAGAAAGTTAGCAACCCTACTAAGACTATACAATGTAATACTTTGTTATTTCCACTTGTACATAATAGCCAACAGTAATGTACTTAAAATAGTACTGGATAGTCCTGCGAATCTAATACAGGTATACAAGAAATTTCATCATAATGATTCACAATTCTAAAGGTGTCATGGAAATTGTTGTAAATAAGTATGCTACTTCATGCAGAACATAGGGTAGGTTTAACTATGGGACAAAGTCAAAGTAGCTTAACTTGGCTTTTGGTGCTGTCTACACTGCCGGAAGTTGAAGGGAGAGCACTCTCCCTTCAGCTTCTTGTGAAAGCAGGATTACAGTATCAATAAGAGTGTCCCTCTCAGTTCAAATTAGCTGTCTTAAAGAGACCTGCTAATTTGAACCCTGGAAGATGGACAGAGGCAGCTTCGATATTCCTCTCTAGCAGAGACATACCCATACTGATCACAAGTATTCTTGTTCCCAAGGGAAGTCATACAGGGTAAATTAAACTAACCCATTGATTAAAACCACAGAGCTGTCTCTTGTAAACTGTATTTACCTGCCACAAGGATTAATTTTACAAGAAATATAATTACCAGATTTGGTTGGTAGCTTTTCTGGGATGTCAGATGGTTTGGGTCTTGAAGAAACAATCTGTGTTTCATCAGAAACTGAAAAGAGAATCTGAATTTAAAATGTTTGGGGGTTTCAGAGCTGAAGAGACAGCATGGAACTCAGCTACAGCCAAGTTGCACATTTCAAGATGATGCCAATACAGGGGCAAGCAAGATGGTGGATGGGCTGAAAGTCAGCTGTGAGATGATTGTGTAACATGAACAATGAAGTTGGTGACAATGTCCTTTTAGCAGCCAGTCATTAAATCAGTTCAGAAAATGCTTCACAGATGGATGATTATGAGGAAATGATTGATACAGCAGGATCAAACAAAAAGTTTTGCATATGGGTTTTGAAGCCCCGGTGTTTGAGCAAATCTTAAGACTATTCTTAGCAGACAAAAGATATGCCACGATGATGGAAAATAACAATCATATACTATTTACCCATTACTGTCTCTGGGGTTTCCATGAAAGGAAAAGAAGATTTCAGGGCTGGTTTCGTGGTCGCTAAGAACAAACATGAAAACAATCCTGAGATATTGGGGTAAGCAGTTTTGCACAAATAGTACCAACGTATAACTTTAAAACAGAAAAAAAAACCTTTCTGTATTTGGTTTGAGGATATTTTTAAATTATACAGGTTGTACCTCCCTTAGCGGGACTCAGTGGTTCAACATCATCCATGGTCCAGCACAATCATGGATATTCTTGGACCACAGAGCCCAGAAACAAGGAGGTCTGGCAGTAGGGCAGGAGCGCAGTCGTGGGGACCAGCAACTCAGCTAGCTGCCCAGTGAAAGGAAGCGCAGCATGGCAGGGAGTTCTAGCCCCAGCAGCCAAGGAGCTCTGGCCATGGCCAGGGAGCTACAACCCCAACGGTGATCGTGGAATGCCAGCCACAGCCAGGAAACTGTGACTCCAGCGGGAGCCATGGATCTCCGGTCACAGCCCCTGCTGGGGCCAAGGAGCCAAGTGGCTGCAGAGCTCTAGCCCCAGCTGCAGAACTCTGGCTGTGCCGCTCTGGTCCGGCAAAGCCTCTCATTCGGGACCAATTAGGACCCAAGGGTGCCAGACAAGGGAGGTGCAACCTGTATTCCCTTGCTGAAATGATGGCAACCAGCTGATGGGCATTCATGTAGTTTGCGTTCTAAACATTTAAGTAGTTTTATCCTCCACTTTAGAGCAGACACAAGTACAATAAAATCAATCATATTCAACAGATTGTGTTCTTATAGCACTTTTAGGTTTGTTGATAAACTGTCCTTTTGATATTGCAATTAAATACTACGGGGAAAGTGCCATGAGGCAGGATTAATTGGAACAGCAGCAGAAACAGTGAACTAAATGATTGTGGAAGGGACTTAAATATGTCTTCTAATGTTTACTATTGTGCAACAAGATTATAACATCCATAAAAATATTTTATATTGCTTTTATTTAAAGGTAGTCTGAAGTGTGTTTGTTTGAGTGACAAGAGGGTAAGTGAAGGGAGAATCTGCATTGCTGATGGAAGGTACATAAATATTGTAAATTAAATGTTGCAAGTTTTGCACTGGTATTTTTATTACAAACAAATCCCCTGTTTTGACCAGGATAAAATTAGTGCTTTTTTGTTTTAGAAAGTATAGGTCTTTCCAGAAATTATGCCTGTAACACTCCCTTATACCTATTAATATTATCTTCTTTTATATATAGGAACCTTTGCTTTAAGTTTTTCCTACAGCACATAACATATGCATAAGTTTTGCAGAAGAGGCCACACTGAAACCTCAGATCTGAACTCTCTTGACCTACTGGCATTTATGACAAAATTAAAATATTGTAATTTGAGCACATTTTTAATGAGGATGATAAACATATGTTAAAATCTGAATAAAATCGAATGAACTAAATTTTGTTTCACATAATAGCTGCCTGATTCTACATTTATTTTCAATCAAATTCAGACTTTTTTTGTCAGCAGATATAATTCTATGTTGCCACCCTGAGCGACAGAGGGGAATACTGATCTTGGATATTGTGCATACAAATGACACATGATTCACAGGTGTTGGCAGCAGGCTTTTCATTAACTGTATTTACATACAGTAAGATCTATGTGATATCTCCCAAAAGCATCCCATTAAAATGCAGCAGGTATATAAAGAAACCCTTTTTAATAAGGGTTCAAATTCAAAGTAAACTGTCCGTCCACAAAGTTTCCAAATTAAAAAGATGCCTCTCTGTGGCATAATACAGATACAAAAATAAGAGTATGTCTACACTACATGGCTCTGTCGATGGAGCCATGTAGTGTAGACATTCCCTAAATAAGAAAAACATTCTGAGAGAAAGTAGAGAAAAATAGATAAATCACAACTAAAAATATATTTACAGAAACTACATTTGACTCTATTGGTGATCTTATGTGAGATCTGACAGTTTCTTGATGCAATTAATATAAAACCCACTTTCCAAAATGTAACTTTTTAAAAAGCATGCTCAAGGCTTGAAATATCTAGGCTAAGGGACCTTGGTATTCAAATTCCATAAACTGAAACATAGCATCGTGAATGAAAATAAAAATATCCAAGCCCTATTCCTGCACATTATGCAGGGGAAAAGCCCTTACCAACCAAATAGAATGGCACTAACTTCATCTGGTATGTCTACTCTCAGGGGTGCTGTATAGTGGGGACGCTAAGAACCATTGAACCAAGCTGTAAGCCCTGCAGCACCTCTAGTTCCAGCACCTAACTCTGAAATGAAAAACCTGTGGTACCAAGACTCCAAGCCTGCATCAGCTGACTTGAGCTCCCAGGGCTTGGGCTGTGGGGCTAAAAATTGCAGCATAGACATTTGGGTTTGAGATGCAGACCACCCTCTCAGTCCCTCTCCACAATCAGGGTTTCAGAGCCCGGGGCTCCAGTTCGAGCTTGAATGTCTACATTGCTATTTTTATAACCCTGCAGCCTGAGCCCAAGTCAGCTGACCTGGGCTAGCCATAGCTATGCGTCAGGTCTTCTACTGCTGTGTGGATGTGCTCCATTAGATTCTGCCCATGTGGATCTCCTTCCTAAAATCAGGGCCCTAACCAGCATAATTAAATCACATTCCATACTATGTAGTCTCATTGGAAAACCTAAACAGTACAATTTAGAGCTAACCTGAAACAAATTATGTGCATGAAATACCAGCTTTACCAAACTCACTATTCCATCTTTTAACTTTTATTTCTGGAAAGCAGGTGCGAGATTATATTATAATTAGTAATATTATCTGTAATAATGTTGATGTAAGTCACTATATTTCAACAAACTATGCTCTTTACTGAATATCCTCTCTCTTTAACACTGACTTCAATGTCTTGTCTAGACCAGTGAGGGGCAACTTAGGCTAGTGAGAGGGTCGCATGAGTGGCCCTCCTTCATCTCAACAAGCTGCTTCTTGTTGTAACCAAGATGGTCTCCCGGGATAGGGTAGCGTTGCTAACTACGCTTGCGTACCTAAAATTTGTGGGGTGTGCCAATTGAACCACAGCAGCGCTTTGATTGGCTGCAGAGGGAGCACACGGTTCTCACAATGTTGTGTGCAATTAGCACACACATCACTTCACATGCCCTTGATTTAAGTGCAGGTCACTTTTGTAATACCAATAGGAAAACAACTACATGGATGAAAACGAATGGAATCTGGCAACCACACATGTGGGTAACAGTAAACAAAATGTCTCACGGACCTCACATAGAACCCCAATGGGATGCAACAGCCCTTGGGCCGAGAGTTACCCACCACTGACATAAGTGCTGTGGTGTAAGGTTCAAAAAAGTAACCAGTGACTCTAGATGCCCAACTAGAGACTAACTTAATAGAACCATGTCAGTTTATACCAGCTGAAGATGTTCTCTATATTTTTAAATTTTTTCTAACAGCATTTGTAAGTAAAACATTTTAAGTGTGGTGTCATTAAAATCAAAACAAGACTTATATAGAGTAATAATTTTTCATTAGAAATATCTCATGGCTCTAGCATTATAAATCATACAACTACATTATTGCAGCTGAGAAATTAAAACCACAAGTCCCACCTGGGCATAATACCAACAAACATGACTCAAATAAGATTAGTCTCAAAGCTCTCAACTTTAGAAATAAGGGAATTACCGGGTTTTGTCTGTCGTATTTTTGGAGCATCAGATATTTTGAATCCAGAAGAAATAATCTGCATTTCATTAGAAGCTATGGTAAAATAAATAATCAGGTCTTTATTTGCTACAGGTAATTGGGAAAACATGACACAGAACTATTCCAGCACACCCAGTAGGTGCATGCCTGAAGCCAGCAATATAAGAAGCAGCTGATATCTTAGATACAATTTCATAAATAACAGAAAGAAACATTGTGGAAACACAGAAAGGACCTTGGAACATGAATACCCTCAGCTATGTCCTGAAACATCATGAAGAATCATGTGGCCAAGGAAGACAGAAATAAATATCCAACAGTGAAAGTTTATCTGCTTGGTAAGTAAGCAAAGACAATTGTGATTTAGTTCTCATACTAGCATCCTCTAAAGCAGTGCAGCCAAATATAGTTAACCTTGCCAAAGAAACTGGAAAGGAAAAAAATGGGATTAAAATAAATTCAAAACAAACCAAAACAAAAATCATACACAACATATTCCCCTGAGCTTCTGAAGTGAGGGAGATGTTTTTGTGTTTGAAATTCTGGAAGCTTGTTTGGAACTGCAAGGGGAAAAGGGGAAAAAGAGAAAGTACAACATTTATGTGAGTCAGTAGAAATCTGGAAAAAAATGTTTGTTAATACTTCTGGTTGTCTTTGTATGGTGTAATGGAAAGAGAAACAAAAAGACACTTTGTCATTACATTCCGGTGCTGGTGAATTCAATAAAACACTTTCCTTTATTACTCATCTATATACCTACTAAGTACAGAGTTGCATATTTCATCCCATGTCTATTCATATCTGCATCCCTCTCTGGAAGAGGAGGACTAATTTTTAAGTAACTAGGGACCAAATTTTCAAAAAAAATCTCTGGACTTTTTTCATAATTTTTCATAGATTTGTGTGTATAATAAAGGCAGTGAATTTAACATTATGACATTTCTTAATGCAGAATTTTTACAGCAAGAAGACTGTGGATGCTGCTCCTAACAATAAAATGAAAATCAGAGTAATTGTTAATGGAGAAAACACATTTTTGCAACACAAAAGTTTTTGATCAGGATTTTGTATAGGAGACATTTCTTCTAAAGGAAGAAAATAATGACTGCATGCCATTATTAACCCATAGTGAGTCATAACTAATCACACATATGACTGTTTTATTTTAAATGAAAATTTGATGCCATCAGATTGAATCTGCCTTGATTTTTTATGTTTTGAGTATTTTATACACTTAAATTGGTTTTATTATATAACACAAAACTTATATAACTGCTGTTTTAACAACAGGAGCCTAAAGATCATTCCTAACTTTACCTATGTAGATGCACATTGCTTTCACCTCAAAAATCTGATATTTTACAAGTGTGTTTGTTAATTTTTCAGGCAATTTTTCACCAAAAATGGAGCACATGACATTCTGCAGAGATGTCAGTAGCATAGCACCTCAAATTGTAAATACAATGTGATATTCTTTTTCTGAAGGAATCTAGTGAGATGAATTTATTATTTTAATGACCCTTACTATGCATAATCCTGTTGCAATACCTGTGATTTATAATGAACATTTGTTTCCATGTTATAAGCAATGCATTACCAAGGAGAATTTCGCTGAAGAATTGTCTTGAGAGAAAACCAAGAAACTTGATGTTTCTTTGTATCTCTAAGGCAATATTACTAGCGCTACACCTGGTTACAGACATCAAGAGACATACAGACAACTTGGAATTCAGTAAAGGACAGGACAGAATATTACTTTAAAAATTAGAATAACTGGTATACCTATCAAGAAAACACTACCCACAGTAGCCGTAGCAAGGCCTGGATAGATTTCTGTACTACATATAATCTGCAATATATATAAATTAGTAGCTGTATATGTAAATTGACAAGATTTTCTGTGGAACTGCTCACTTCTGAAGTGTTGTTGTAAAAGGTAGGAGAATTCTGGAGTGGAAAAAAGCAGCAAATACTATATATTGAAGCTAAGAAGTCAAATTAATTACCCAGTATGTTTTGAGTTTGTGCCAGTTCAGGTTTAGGAGTTGAATTTGTTTCTTCAAGGCCACTCTCAGTTTCACTGTGAGCTGGAAAAAAAAAATCTAGGCTTAATTTTGAATCAAGAGCATAAGAATGGCCAGGCTGCCAATGATCCATCTGGTCCAATTTCCTATGTTCTGACAGTGGTCAAGGCCAGGGGCATCAGACAGAATGAACAGAACAGTTCATCATCATGTAGTCCATCCCTTTTGCTTTCTTCCACTCTGAGCTCCCAGCACACAGAAACAAGGGACAATTAAGAGCAGGGTTTTGCATCCCTGTCTATCCTGGCTAATGGCCATTAATGGACCTATCTTCCATGAACTTATCTAACTTTTTTTAACCCTGTTATAGTCTTGCCCTTTACAAACATTTCTGGCAAATAATTCCACAGACTGAGCATGCATAGTGTGAAGAAGTACTTCTTTTTGTTGGCTTTTAACCTGACACCTATTAATTTAATTGGGTTACCCCTATTTCTTTTGTTATGTGAAGGAGTAAATAAGATTTCCTTATTCACTTTCTCCATGCCAGTCAACATATTATAGACCTCTATCTTTTCCTCCTTTAGTCATCTCGTTTTTCAAGCTGAAAAGTTCCTGTCTTTAATCTCTCATACAGAAGCTATCCCAAACTTAATAATTTTGGGTACGTCTAAACTCTGGTATCCCGAAATAGCTACCCCGTGTCTTCACAAGCCTCCTTTTATTTCAAAGTATTTTGAAATAATGCACTATTTCGAGACATCCCTTAAGGGATGGTTAAGAGAGGTCTAAATAGTGCATTATTTTGAAATTTGGTGCTATGTAGATGTACCACATTTCAAAATAAGCTATTTTGAAATAGAATAAAAATAAAATACGTAATTTGCATAGTACAAATTGCGTATCTCATTTCGAGTTTAGGGTGATACATAGATTCACCTTTTAGTTCAGTGTTTCTTAAACTTTTTGAGACCATGGAACACCAAACAATAATATTTTTTTATGCGGAACACTTATGAAAGTTTTCTTCAAAAAAATAAATTGTTGTCAGACCAAAAAAGACAAAAACAAAGAAGTAACAAAAACAAAGAAGAGGTCGCGGCACACCTGCGAGTTGTTCACGGAACACCAGTTTTCCGTAGAACATAGTTTAAGGAACACTGCTTTAGTTATTCCTCTCTGTACCTTTTCCAATTTCAATTCTGTATTTATTCCATTTATTTTACGATGGACCATCCAGATTTGCATACAGTATTAAAGATCAGAGCATACCCAAGATTTATATAGTTGCATTGTGATATTTTCTGTCTCGTTACCTATCCCTTTCCTAATGGTTCCTGACTTTCTTGAGCGTGTTGTAACAGTTAACTTAGACCCCATCATTTTGTATGTATAGTTGTGATTATCTTTTCCAATATGCATTACTTTGTATATATCGACATTGAATTTCATCTGCTATTTTGTTGCCAAGTCACTCAGATTTGTGAGGCCCTTTTGCAACTCTTTGTAATCAGCTTTAGACTTAACTATCGTGAGTAATTTTGTATTGTTTGGGAATTTTACCACCGGTTTATCCCCCTTTCCCAGGTCAATTCTGAATATGCTAAACAGGACTGATCCTAGGACAAATCTCTGGGGACATTGCTACTTACCACTCTCCATTCTGAAAACCGACCATTTATTTCTATCCTTTATTTCCTATGTTTTAATCAGATATTGATCCAAAAGAGGACTTTTCCTCTTATCCCATGACTGCTTACCTATTGTAAGCCTATAAACTTTTAAGAAATCCTTGTAATCTTTTGTTTAGTCAATGTCCATAACCTGTGTGTGTGTGCATGCATGTGTGCTTTGAGGAAGCCAACAATCTATGCTTTAGGATTAGAACATCTTCTCCAGTAGAACAGCTTCACTATCATTAAAACCCTTAACTTTGATTGTACAAGTGAAATTCAACATGGATAGGATTTTGGATTTTTGGCCCCCTCTTCTCCTCTTGCAAGCCTGTTCCTGAACTTTGCTCCTCTGAAGGTAAGAAACGTTCATTTAATTTTAAGACTAAATATGCTAATGGCCAATTTATATCCATTTGTTCTTGGACCAACACTGGCACTTAAATAGCAGTGAGGTAAGGAGTTTATTTAAATTATTACTCTGATGTATTTCTAAAGAATAATCAAATCTCCTCTCAGCCTTCATTTTATTAAGCTAGAGAAGCCAAGCTCCTTAAATCTTCTCTTGTAATGCTTTTTCTACATTCCTGTGATCATCCTAGTAGCCTTTCTATGCACCTGTTCCATGTTTCTTAAACATGGGGGACTAGAACTGCACACAATTCCAGATGAAGTCTCCCCAGTACCTTGTACAATGGTAACAATTCTTCCTTATCTCTGCTGGAAATACTGTGGCACAGGCTTACTGATAGGAGAGGCTGGGAGGAGAAGGTGGAAGCAAAGGGGTCAATTGCTCTGGGGCCCAGAGCTCCTAGCACTACCGTTGCCACTACTCCATGGGCTCCTTTGAACTGCTGCCAGAGCACCTCTCCATGTGGCTCTGGGGATTGGGAGGGAAGGGGGACATGCTGAAGGCTAGGCTTTGCTAAGGGCTGACTGCCCTCAGCTCTGCACCTTCTGACCAAGGCCTTGTGCGTGGTAGCTGTCAGCGCTGCTATGGTGCAAAATCAGAAAGATGTAACTCATGTGCTTTAACCTAACAAGAGGGCATAAATGACAATAACAAGTAGTTCTTTAAATACATTAGGAGCAAAAGAAAGAACAAGGAAAGTGTTGGCCCTCTGCTTAGTGAGGAAGAAGAGCTAATAATTGATGATATCAAGAAAGCAGAGGGGATTAATCCTTATTTTGCTTCTGTCTTCACTTAAATGGTTAAGAAAGAGCATGACCAGAGGCTCAACACAATTCATATTAACAGCATGGCTAAGGAAGACAAGCCACAACAGGAAAAGAACAAGTTAAAATATCTGAAATAAATTCCAAGTATTCAAACTTGCAGGGCCTAATGAAATTCATCCTATGGTACTTAAGGAGCGAGCTGAAGCAATCTTGGAACCACTGAATAGTATTTACTAGTGAATAGTAAAGGAAACAGCTGATGTGATGGATCTTGATCTAATGAGGCTTTTGCCACAAACCCACATGTTGTCCTCATAAACACAGTATGGCAATTCGCTGCAGGCCTCACGCTACTTGTCAAGGTAAGCTGATGATCGACTTCCAGAGAGGTTGTTTACCTTGCGGTCTGCAAGCACTGGTGAACCATGGACAATGGGAGCTGAGGGCATCTATACCTGCAGCTGCTAGGTAAACAACCTGTCTGGCAGCCCACCAGTGGCTTATCCTGATTATCCATGTACCCAGGGTTACATGTTGCCCAACACTGCAATAGTGAAATAACCTTAGGTGTAATTACTATAAGGTGGGTGTACAACAGTTGAATGACCATAATCAATGAGTTTGTTGTCAAACTAGCAAGGAGTGTGTAGTGAAGTTACCAAGGGTATGTCTATACTACAAGGCAAAGCTGAATTAAGATACGCAACTTCAGCAACATTAATTCCATAGCTGAAGTTGAAGTAGCTTAACTCAGATTTTGGTGCTGTCTACACAGCAGGAAGTTGAAGGAAGAACACTCTCCCTTCAACTTCCCTTACTCCTCATGAAAGCATGGCTACGGGCATCAACAAGAGCGCCCCTATCAGTTCAAATTAGCTTAACTAGACCACTAATTCAAACCCTGGAAGATAAACAGCGTCAGCTTCAATCCTCCTCTGTGCTGTAGACGTACCCCCAGAAGACAGTCCTGCGTCTGATACTATTTAATATTTTAATTAACGACTTGGAGAATGGAGTAGAAAGTATGCCTATAAAATGTGTGAATGACAAGAAGCTCTTTTTAAATTCCACATCTGTGAACAGAAGAGAGATTTCACTGGGGCAGTCTTTGGTAATCCTCACTCCACAAAGAGCTATAAACGTAATATTTACCTAGTGTGTTCAATGATAATTCAGGCGTAGGTGCTATGTTAGGTTTCGTGGATTCCAGTTCACTTTCATTGTAATCTATGAGAAGAAAGAATTATTTTTTTCTTTCAATAAATCACTACACTTTGTCCACAACCCACTAAACAGGCTTCAAGCCAAAACTGACTAGCCAGGTTTAAAAGCTGAGTCCCAAGCAGTTATGGAGCCATTATAAAAACTATGTTTCAATATTTTTTGCTACGAAATGAAAATCAATGCCACAAAACCACATATTACAACACATGCTGCTTCAGCTTCCACAGAAATCAGCAGAAGTGTTGCAACTGACACAAGTGAAAGATAGTCTAGGTCCTTACAGAGAAACCAGATCAAGCAAATTAAGTTTCTGAAAGCTTGGGACAAAAAGCCACTAACTAAGAGGGACAGAAAGACAATTTTAAAAGAAAGAACCACCATGCTTTTCTGAAGTACTTTGAAGGTTAGCAAGTTGCATGGTTCAATGCGAATTATATAAAAAAGAACAAAACACACTCCATTATTCATAAATGTGGGCTATTTTTAAAGGGGTACACTGTTTTTCCTTTTCATAAGATGTGTGAAGATGGCAGACAAGTTTGATGAACAATATATATCATAAGCTAAAGTATTTCAGGTCTGTCCACAATTAGAATAAAACAAAACAGGCTACTTGATGTTTTTTTCGTGCCTTCAGCAGAGACTCTGGGGAGGAACACTAGTCATTTTTGTAATAAAAGGGGCTCAGAGAGCAGCAAATGCAAGGGTTAAAATGAACATAGAGAAAAAGATGCTTTTACCTGAAGATGTGTCTGATTTTTCTGAGGCAGCAGGTACAGTAGGTTTAATGCTCTCCTGAAATGATTCAATGGTAGCTACAAAAAAAAAAAATAATTAACATAACTGAGTGAGATGAGGCTACTTAATTTCATGGCACACAAGGCGGCAAGAATGGGTTTAAGATTTAAAGTATTTACTTGTCACCACATTCCTGGATAATAAAACCTGAAATGGAATTATAGTGGTGGCTCTAAAGAAACTCGCTACATGATTAAGCAAGCTATTACCAAGATTTAAATGCATTTTTATAATAAGTACAAGAGAGTACGATGGACTGAAATAACAGTACCGCCGACTGAAATAACAGTAGATATCATTTATTTGAATAAATGTACATAATGTTTTACTTAATCCATAGTTGTTGTATAGGTATACCCCCTTTGCTAGAATTCCTCTTTGAGACAAAAGCCATTCAACAACAAGGGAGTGTGTTTACTGGTCAGAGCAGGGAGATTTATGTCCAGCAACTTGTGCCAACTCACTGTGAAACACAGGCACGCAGCTAAACTATTCTGTGGCTCAGTTTTATTATCTGTAAAATAGTGTTAAAATATTTACCCACCTCAAGACATTGCAAGTCTTAGTTACCACTTTACAAGCTTCAGAAAATAATTTGCATGAAAAATGCCATATCGGAGCAAAGTATTATTGTTATTCTCCTTATTATTTTCACTATGCTTAAGGTGTTTTGTTGGTAATTAAACCAAGAAAATTTATTGGGAAAGGAGCCTTAAAGAAATGTATTCATATTAAACTTTTAAAAGGGGGGAGGGTAAGACATAAGACAGCATTACGAAATTTGGGTTGTTGTGTTAAGAGAAAAAAATTCCGAAGTTGAAAATGCTGAGAAATGAGGTGTGGAAGAGATCACATCACAAAAAGTCTCACCATCACATTTCTGATGAGAAAATTATGGGATGTGTGGCTGACAAAAGCAACAACAACAAATATAGCCCTTCTGGCAGAATAGCATTAACAGTTTTGATTAGTAAAATTGGAACAAAAATACAAACAAAAATCAAGGCGCTAACAAAATGTGCACTCAACTATACAACCAGTTATCTAGCTTACTGTTATATCTCATCCCTCACCCTTCATTTGTTCATTATAAATGTAGCTTAAAAGATATTTGATGTATCTTATCTTCACTGTACATGTTTCCATAGCTTGTAAAAACACTAACAGAGATGTAGCCGTGTTAGTCTGATCTTGCTGAAACAAAAGACAGGACTATGCAGCACTTTAAAGACTAACAAGATGGTTTATTAGGTGATGAGCTTTCGTGGGCCAGACCCACTTCCTCAGATCAAATTCTGGAAGAGAATTGGCATGACCATATACACCAAAGGAATACAATGAAAAAAATGAAAAAAGTGAACACATTATAAAACTGACAAATCAGATTTAGAACAGAAGAGGGGTGAGGGGAAGGGCTAGTATCTATGAGATAACGATACTAGGCGCGATAATTGGGGAAGTTATCTTTGTAATGGGTAACGTAATTAGCATCTTGTTAAGGCCCATTTGTAAAGTATCAAATTTAAGCATGAATGACAGTTCTGAGGTTTCCCTTTGTAGTCTGGTGTTAAAGTCTCTTTGAAGTAAAATACATGTAGTAAGATTGTTCAGACTATGCTCAGGTTGGTTGAAATGAATAGAAACTGGTTTATCTTTGTGAAGGTGTTTGATGTCTGATTTGTGGGCATTAATTCTTTGGCAAAGTGTCTGAGAAGTTTGTCTAATATACACAGCAGAAGGACACTGTTGTCATATGATGGCATAAATTATATTTCTGGATGAACAGGATGAATATGTGTTGTTGATCTTGTAACTGACGTGGTTAGGTCCAGTGATGGTATCACCAGAGTAAATATGTGGACAAAGTTGGCAACAGGGTTTGTTGCAAGGGAAAGTTCCAGGGTTGGTATTAGTGTGGTATGGCCTGTGGTTGTTGGTAAGAATCATCCCGAGGTTAGGCGGTTGTCTATAGGAGACTATGGGTCTGTCCCCCAGAGCCTCTGTTGGCAATATGGGATAACAAGTCCATAAAAGTAAATATAAATATAATCACCTCTGAGGTAGACAACAGCAGTTAGCACACGGCATGCTGTACAATGTTGGGAAAAGGCAGCATCTCATTTTTAATACATATGTGCAAATACACACAGTCTATATGTAAAGCAAGCATCAATGGGAGACTAACACTGAAGGTGATAAGATGATTTCTTGAATTGTATTCTTATGACTATTTTGTGGACACTCACTAGTTTGCATGGTCAAGGCACTATATAAAGGATTACTTAACATTTTAATTTTGACCTACCTTACTCAACAAATTAGTTTCCTATGAGTATAACATGCTTTAAGAGAGTATTGTAGCCATGTTCTATCATGCAACAACTTTTAAACATCGATGAAAGCAGAAATGTATCACTGTTAGTTTGACCTTCACAGGGAATACAAAAACAATATTTAGATATTTTAAAAATTGTTGACACGTGGGAATTGAAACCGAAATTCTTGCTTGAATGCACAGTACTTCAAGTAAATGTTAAATGTGGCTAGGCAGAAATGCCACACAAACATTGGCATATGACTTCAAAGGATGTTTTCAAATTAGAATGCTGGCAACTTAGCGAAGTATACATTAACAGAAACAAAGGGCAGAACTACATGACTGTGGTGCTAGTGTTCTGAATTCTAAAAATATCTGAAATAGGGTTGCCAGATAGTTTCACAAAAAATACCGCACACGGTGGGGAAAAAATTGGATGAGCAAAACAAACAAAAAAACCACACACACAAAAAGACACGGTGGAGAAAGAATGTTCCAAGCGGCCTTCAGTCTGAGAAAAACAGAAATTACTGGACATTTTCTGTGGGTTTTTTTTTTTAACTGGGCACATGCCACAAATACCGGGCTGGCCAATACCAGACACCTAATCTGAATGGAATGATCACTGCACAAATTAAAAACATTGAAATATCTCTGAAGGTGAACATATGAAAATATAAAACGTATTTTAGTAAATAAATACAGATAATTATAATAATAGAAAGTGTAACTATGTCTTTATTTGGAAAAAAATTAATATACAGTCAGTATTTGCCAAGAGTTAACATACAGTTGTATTTGAAATGCCACATTATCCCTCTATTTCAAAATTAGGAAATAACTGATATTCTGTGGTATTTGCTTGCAAATTATGATTTTTTTTTCTGAGTGGCACTACTGTACAGAACATAAGTGTACACAACCGCTGAATGTATAAAGGGAAAAATGAACGGAGAAAATGAAGAATTGGCATATATGTGAGCTGCATGCCTATCTGCTTATTTAAGATATGCACAAAAGCCATGCATAGGATTTGATTTAAAGTCAAGGAATTGAAGTGGATGCAGCTGAAGTTGTTTTGAGAGAGAGAGAGATTTATTCTTCGAATCATTAGGAAAGATCGAATAAAGAATAGTGCAATATATTTATCATGATGTAATACTGAAGATGGATATCATCAGAAGGCTTAGGAACTACACAAAAAGATGGTTGGTCTTTAATACTTTGACTCAAAAAGTGAATATCCAGAAAGTCATAGTATTTTTGAAGCCCCCTCCCTTCCCACCAAATTATTAAACTAGCGGTATATGACACTGTTGTAAGAAGGGCTCTTCATCAGATAGGAAGTTGTTGTAGATCTCATTTATTTGGGAAGGACATGTGGAAATGGTTTATCAATGAGAAGATGTTAGATAATGAGATGTGCACATGAAAAAAAGATGTAGATAAGGATTTTCTCCTCTAATGCCCACAATCGTTGGCACAAAATATACATCCCAGAAAGCTCACCTGTTCAAAAATTACCAATGTAACTGATTATTTTGAAGTATTCCAGTAATAAGAATGATGACATTAAACAAAGTGAAAAATATCATGTCACTGAAAAGCAGAAATGGGAAAGCATTTGTGACAAATAATTTGAGACTGTTTCACTTCTTTTCTGTTCATTGATTGTTTTTTCATATGGGCCAGTTATTCCTGACTGCATCATTCATAATTATTTACCAAATTATTTCTATAATTATGAGTCTAGATTGTTCACAAAAGTGTAGCTGATATTCAGTACTCTATGTCTGCGATTGATGGGACACACAAGCCACTTCTTTTTCCTCCTGTTCCCTGGTTGGATGCATACAAGTCTCATGACCAAGTCTCCAGATCCAATAAATATTTATGTATTTGAGAAAGTAAATTTTATCTATATATTTGCAATATACATGTATAAATTATTTCCGTAATCACTCTGGCTATTGAACTCAATTACTAAAATATCTGTGAAAAGTGAATACAAAAAGGGAAATAGTAAAAATTAATTATTTTGAAAATTTTAAAAATAACCCATCCATCTCTAGTTAGAAATCAAGTGCTCAGTCTCTGTACTCTAAACAGCTATGGTTAATGCCTATGTGCAAAAGTGCCCTACTATTCCTTCCAGTACTTTAGGATAAATATAAAGAACAACTGAAAGGCAGACTTGTCTGTCCCACTTCAGACTGGAATTTTGGCAATAGTCTTACCTGGAGGTTGTAGAATAAGAAGTCTGCAAATGCTTTTAGTGACTAAAAGATGATGATAATTTCATCCAGAAGAGAGTTGGCAATCCTTATGCGTTTTTGCTGCATTACTACATTCTACATTTCTTTTATTCCCTCTATACTCTCCAAGAGTGCAAAAATCTGGTGAACCACTCAGTTTTGAATCTCAATACTGGACTGACTTAAGCTGTAGATAGCCCAAGGAATTTATTGTCCACAATATTCAACATACTGCTACAGAAATTATTTATTAGAAGTCCCACCAAATAAATTGCATTTTCAACTTCAATAAAATGTCTGGTCTACCTTCAAGACATTCACGGGGCCAGGAATTTTAAATGGTGAATAGAAATGCAATGTCTTTATGGGAATAAAGTTAGAGATCTTTAAAAAAATAACGAAAACTGAGCACATCTGATCAGTTGTAAAGTGGTGCTTCTTCAAT